CCGCTTGTGGGCAGGAGGGCAGCAGGGACGGGGGGGGGGCTGTGGGGGGGGAGAGGAGGTGGAAGAGGAGAGATGTCATCAGCCCTTCTGACTCAGCCTACCAGCTGGCGGCAAGGAGGACACGAGGGAGGCGTGCCTTGCCGAAACCCGCCGGCACACACACACACACACACTTACGTTTCACCGCCAGCAGGGTGTTCCCGTGGCAACAGGAGACGGAGGCCACCAGGATGGGGTGTGATTCTGCCAGGTGTACAGGCCTCGGGTTGCGGGCCTCTTCGTCCTTCCTCCCTAAGCGCCCCCGGGCACTTTTCCCCCAGGTGTACACCTCGCCATCTGCAAGGAGGACGGTATCGGGGACTCAGTGGGGCGAGTCACGGGCGCTGGCCAATCCACCCCATGCGGCACAGCCAGCGCGCAGGGGATAGCCCGATGTGACCCCCTCCCCACCATGCCACCCACTCACCTGCCCCCACGACGACAGTGAAGGCATCTCCGCAGCCCACCCTGGAGACCCGGATGGCCTGGAGACCCTCGACCAGGTAGGGCGCCCGGCTGGCCCGGCACGAGATGGGGCCCACCTGGCCGTGCTGGTTGCTGCCGATGGTGTAGCACTTCCCCGAGGCTGGCCGTAGAAAAGGCAGAGAAGCCCGTGACAACCGGATCTGTGGCTGCCTGGGACTCCTCAGGAGTTGTCTCCTCCCCCCCCCCGTCACAAAGACCCTCTTCACACAGCAGCCCCTGGGTCCCCATCAGCTAGAAAAGCTGGTCCACCTCCAGGCCCGGAGGGTCCCAAATCCAGGCCAGAGGACGTTCCGGGGGCACCAGAGGTACCCCTGCCATCTCTCATAAATGCCAACAGCCAGTCGAGGGCAATCCGAGTTACCGGACTGCGGGAACAAGAAGTTTCCTTAAGGAAGCTATGTGGTTGCTGGTGTGTTACTGCCACAGCAAACACGGGACAAAAAAAAGAGGCTAAATTAAAATATCACTTTCCCTTCTAATAACGAGGGGTCCCTTTGATCACACTGGGAGTGTGGAGGGGTGTTTCCAAAACGACCATCAAAATTTGAGGGAGGCATTTCCGCTAAGATGGTGATTCATTCTCACCAGAGTGCCATTATTTTCCATTTTGTTCTCAAGGCCATCTGATCCCAGGGCCCAGGTAATTGATTAATCAGAAGAAGGGCTGGTTCGTTAACTCAGACCATCCGGCTGGCAGCCAAACCTGGCTACGGGGCCTGCTTTCTCCCTGCGAGGGTGAAGCTGTCAAGATGTTTTGGCTGAAGCTGTTTTGCTAGCAACGTCCCTCCGTCTGCTTACAACTCTTGGACCGTAAGACCGATGGGACTTAGGCTTCCTGTAGACGATTCCTCCCAGCCTTCCGGGGTGGGGATGGGGGGGGAGAGACCGCAGTGCCCCCTGGAGGCTGCCCTGACCCAGGGGTGAGGCAACACCTTCGCCCCTTGCCTGGAGGCGCCTTTTCCACACCAGCTCCAGGAGACAATGGCACCCTTCCCTCCGCCTCCCGGGCCGGGCCTCACCTGTGATGGCTGCTGAGTGGCCGGTGCCGATGTCGGCCCAGAGGATGTCCTCTTCGCTCAAGGGGGCCGAGCGGGCTGGGCTGAAGAGGAGGGCTTCCTCCACCTGGTGGGCGGTGAGGGGCTCCTCTGGAGGCGGAAGGCCATCCAGGCCTAGCTTGTTATACCTGGAGGAAGAAGTGGGGAGCAGAGAGAAAGAGAGAGAGAGACCGGGTGGAGGATGGCCTCCACGTGACAGGACACCAGCTCCCCACAAACCTCAGAGTCCAGCCCAGCACGCCCAGGCCTCGGATCCCCTCCTTCCCTGGACAAGGGGCCCCCTCCTTCTCTCACTCAACCCCAGGTCCTCTGCCTCGGTCACTACAACCACCGTTGCAGTGCTCTGAGCTTCTCCATCCGTCACCGTAATGAGCCCATGGACTCCTTTCCTGAGACCAGAAACCAGCCAGGCCCGAGAGGTAACACCACCTCTCCCTGGGGAGTCTTACCGGTTGCTCCCACAAGCCAGGATCCGATTCTTGGTGGTCAGGATCATGGAGGCATCGATGCCGCAAAGGACTTTCTGGGCCTCGTGGTCGGGCGGGATGGGGACCAGTTGCGGAGAGCTGTGGGACTCCTGCGTCCCCAGCCCCAGGCGCCCTGAGAGAGAGAGAGAGAGAGAGAGAGAGAGAGAGAAAGGAAGTGTCCCCAGTGGCTCCCCACCGAGGAGACCGTGCAGGCATCCACGTGGGCAGAGAATCCAACAGCACAGAAGGGGAAAAGCCAAAAGAGATTTAGGGGGCCAAAAAGCAGCCTGCGTCCCCCCCCAACTGCTCACCATTGTCCCCCCGGCCCCAGGAGAAGACTTCTCCTTCGTTGGAAACGGCCAGGATGTGTGAAGCACCGCAAGCCACCTGCATGATCTCGTAGCCCAACAAAGCCTCGACGATTTTGGGCTGTGGGGGGAGAGAGAGAGAGAAGCGGCTTTCTCAGGGGAGGCCGATAGAGGCTGCCGTGAAGCCAGGAGGGCCGCTCAGGACACCGGATGAACGGCCTCCCAGCAAAGAGAGGACCGCCGGCTTCCTAAGCGCCCAGCTGTGCAGAAGACGTCTCTGCAGCCAGCCGAGCGGGGAAAGAGGGGCAGAGCAAGACCAATGTGTGTGTGTGGGGGGGGCAGAACAACCAGAACAACACCCCCCCACACACACACACAGGCCTTGCAGCCACCCAACCTGGCGGCGCCCTGTCCAGCCTCTGCCCCGGCCCTTCCCAAGGAGGCTCCGCGCTCCGCCATGGAGGGAATGGCGGCCACAGCGTGAGATCACAGCCTCCGCAGCCATGAAGGAGGGCTCCTAAGCCCAGGAGGAGACCATCCAGGGCCACCCACCTGGCTCACGTCCACCAGCGTCTCGTGCCCCAAACAGCCACTGCTGCCGCTCCCGAAGGTCAAGACAATCCCTCTGTCTTTGGGGGGGTGGGGAGGAAAGAGGGTCACAAGCTTTAGCAGATCAGGATCCATCAAATGCTGGCCCCACACAGGTGCCCCCCCCAACCCAATAGGATGGCTTAAAGGGCAGGGAAGGCGAGTCGCTGGTTGGCTAAGGGGCAGTTTGGAGTGAATATCTGTCTGAAATATTTCCCCAGGTCTTCTCTGCCACAATGAGAACTAGGCGCTTGGTTTTCACAGGAAAGCCAAAGCGCCTGGGGAAACCCTGGAGAAAGAGGAATGGAACACAGAGAGCGGGGGTGGGGGGTGGGTTTTCCCTCCCAAGTTAAGTGGGTGTGTGGCACCCTCCCTCGTGGCCCTCCTCCAACGCTTCCCTCTCCCTTGGTTCTTCCTCCTACCTGTCAAGCAAGCGGTGAAGAGGTCCCCGCAGGCCACGTTCTTGATGGTCACCCCGGACTGACCCTCCAGGAACCGGCAGACAAACTGGGGCTGCAGCTGCTCCGTGGCCCCCGGGAGGATGAGCCCTCCAGACGTGCCCATGGGGGGTGGCTGGAAGAGGCAGGAAAACCACCCGGAGGGCTTGTGTGTGGCATGAAACCAATGCCTTCTTTACGGGCAGCAGAGGGGGGGGGGGGAAGGTTCCATCAGGAATAAAACACACAAAAAGGAAAAGGCAAAAGGGCATCCTTGACATGCGCAGAATGCCTTAGCACAGGACGGAGAAAGGGCTGGACTCCTCTGGGGGACTTCCCCTCGCTGACTTACTTCCCACATGATCAGCCGGCCAGATTTGGTCACGCCTGCCTTCTGGGTCCGGCCGGTGGACACCTGCACCACCTCTGCGTTGAGCATGGGGAGGGGGAGGGGGACCGTGATCCCACCTCCCCAGGTGTAGACGGAAGACGGGGTGGGCGGGAGGCCAGGCCTGGCCGAGCTGGCATGGGAGCCTGAGTCCAAGAGAAAGCTGGTGGTGAGAGGGGCGCCCGCAGGGCCAAGGGAGGAAAAGGGGGGACCCCCCCAAACCCCCCCCCCCGCGGAGGTCCAGCCTCACCTCTGGCTCTCGAACCGCCGGGTCTCCCGCCAGCCCTGCCGTGCGTCACGGGCGGCACCGTAGCTAGCGGCTTCTCAGGCCTGCCGGAAAAACAGAGCACCCTCTCATCAGCTATTCTAGAGGGGTTTCAGGAGAGAAGCCGAAGAGGCGGCCACAGCCGGGGCGAGGGCTCCACTGGGCCCAAGGCGCTCGCCTTCTCATCCCGACGCTGCCGACATCGGTGTAGAGGTTCAGCAAAGGGCGGGCGCAGATGGCTTCGGCCATGATCTCGTTCAGCTGGGGCCGCTTGGAGGGGTCCAGGTTGAGCAGGCCGAGGATCAACTGGCGCAGCTCGGGGCTGTAGCGGTCGGAGATGGGGGCGAAGGTCCCGCTCATGATCTTCAGCACCAGGGCTGGCAGGTTCTGTGGATGGGGGGGGCGGAGAGGTCAGAAGGAGGTGTGTGTGTGTGTGTCACAGGAAAGCAGTCCTCAAAGCCACAGGCAGCACTCCCAGAGCCTTCCGGCTGGCCCGTGTCGGAGGCAGGATGAAGCCCTCTTGCCACCAGGAAATGCTTCTTTTGGGCTTCAGCTCTGAGTGGAGTTGTGATTGGGGGGGGGGTTTAGCACAGAAGCCCTCCCTCCCTTTCTCTCCCCCCCCCAATCCTGCCGCCCCAGCTCCTCACCGCGGCTTCGAACGCCCTCTTGAGGCTGGCGAGTTCGTACAAGACGCACCCCAGGGCCCAGATGTCGCTCTTCTGGTTGTAAGGCTTGCCCTCGCACAGCTCTGGGGAGATGTAACAGGGGGTGCCCACCACCTGGGGGAGGGGGGGAGAAAAGAGGCATATGGGGTGGTGGTGGTCAGGGAAGGGTGGCTGAGAAGCCCCACGTGTTCCAGAGCTCTGGCCCAGAACAGGACTGGGACCTCCTCCTTGCCACCCACGAGGGACGCTCACCACCTTCAGCAGGGGGCAGAGGACTGTTTGGCATCCTGCAGAAGAGAGACCCAAGCGTCTCAAGGAAGCGAGTCAAGCAAGAAGCCAAGAGGGACGGCTCCCACACAACCGTCCTCCCCACCTTCCCCTCGAGGGCAATGCCAGGGTGCCGGCAGCAGGAGAGGCACCAGCCCAGGAGCTTCTGCTGGGGGAAACAGGGCTAAACGCTTCCCAAACCAACCCAAATCACAGCTTCCCACCCACCTCCTGCAGACCTCTTGGGATGGGCTTCTGCCCCCAGGAGCAGCTATAGAGGCCATGGAGCGGGATTCAAATCCTGGGCTACCAGAAGTGCTCCCCAAGATCAGTGGCTAGAGTGGCGAGGCCGAAGGAGATCTGACAGGCAACATTTATGCCACAGGTGGGGTGGGGACATCTCAGGGCCAGGCCCCAATTCAGGAAAGGCCTTGCGGGGGGTCGGGTGTGTGTGAAGCTAAGGATCTGGAGCAGATGGGCCAAGGCAAAGGGTGGGAGCCTCCCAGGTTCCTGACTAACGTGGGCATTTCCCTCACATCCAGTTGAGTTCTACCCAGGCAGGATCAAATCCCAAGGCAACCAGCTTCCTGGCGGCCAAGCAGGACTCCGCTCCATCCAGCCTCGTTATCTCCAGCCATCAGAGACGTGAAGGAAGCTGCAGATGGGCGAGGAACCCCTGCGGGCCAGGCCACTCCCTTCCCTGGCTTGTACTCGGCTGGGCCAATCCTGCCTGCAGGACTGCCCACGAACGGCGGGCATGAAGGCCAGAGTCCCTGAGCCTCTCCTGCTCTGTCTGGAGGGCTCTGCATGACCCCACCCTCTCACCCACCCACCCACCGTGTAGGCTTTACTCTTGCTGCTGAGGATCTTGGAGATGCCGAAGTCGCCGATCTTGACCATCATGTGGTGCTTGTCCAGGAGGATGTTCTGGGTCTTGAGGTCCCGGTGGAGGATTTGCTTTGTGTGGACGTGGTGGAGGGCCAGCACAATCTGGACAAAGAAGTGGAGGATGGTCTCCTCGTCCAGCAGGGAGTTGCCACGCTTGTGGATGAACTCGGCCAAGGTGCCACCTGTGGGGGGGGGCAGGGGGGCAGCCGGGAAGGGGAAACAAGGCTCAGGACTCCTGGTGGGTCTTGAACCCAGTGGCAACGAGAAGGAGCCTGAGAAAGCGTCTCCCCGGTGTGCCTGTGTGCGTGCACGTGTGACGGCTCAGGACATGCCTTTCTACCCCAGCAGTAACATGTCAACCGTGGAGGTGTGTGTGTGTGTGTGTTTGGGAAAACAAGCAAGGAAACACCACATATATTTCTCACATGAACACAACCATCTTTCTAGGACCGAGGGCAGGGGTCTGATTGTAAAACAGGCAACTTTTCTTTCCAGAAGAAAATCTATAAATGTCACAGAGGTGGGAAAAAGACAAATGGGCATGACCGATTTCCCTTTCCTGGTGGCCACCGTCCTGCATCAAAGAAACAGAGAATGGGCCGATGCAGGGTTTCTACCATTTTTGCTCTCCACTCCCCCCCCCATTATACACCCAGCTCCATTCCACCCACCCACACACCCACACACACAGAGCAGGAGTGTGCAGCAGAGTGCCAAGACATGCTACCGTTTTTGGGATGGGTCGCTGGCTGACAGCAAAAACAAGAGTGGGGGGAGAGAGGGCAGGAGCCTCGTTAAAAGGCGAGGGTGGAGAAGGAATCCCTCCTCAGCTGCCACTGCAGGTCAGAGAGAGGCGCCTCTCAAGGAATGCTGTGCCTCGAAGGAGGAAGGAGGCAGGCCAACTCCTCGCTCCCTCCCAAGGAGTGGGGTGGGGAAGAGAAAGCCCTCTTTGAAGGCAAACAAGACCAACCTGTTCTGGATTCCTCCAACGCACGCATGCACGCATGCACGCGTGCACACACACACTCCCCCCCCCGCTGCTGCCAAAAGAAGCCCCACCAACCCTCTGCTGTCTCATTTCCAAAGCACTCAAGAGTCTTGGGACCCTACACTGACACTGGGTGCCTTCTCCCCTACTCTCCCCCCCCCTTACTTAGAAACCAGAAACCCGGGCTGAAAGAGGAGCCACTGGCTGGGGAATTGGGCTCAACCTGAAGGTGACCCAGGAGGAGGAGGAGGAGGAGGAGGGTGGGTGGGAAGGAATGCCCCTAGCCCCGGAAAAACAATGGCAGGACGGCGCTGTCTTGGCGTCTGCCCCTGTGCCAGGCCCCCAGGTGTGGCTAGGAAGCTGCACGTACCGCACACACAGCGTCCTTGGCCAAAATGTTCTTTCCAGGGGGGTTACTTAGGGGACTATCCCTCCATGTTCTCTCTAAAACAGGGCATTCCTCAACCCCCAAGAAGAGGGGGAGAAAGGACACACAAATAGGTTCGGGAGGGCCTGTCTTTCACAGGCTAGCTAGCTCCCCACAGAATCTACATTCAATGTGGGCTCACCCTCTGGCAATAAAATTCAGTGGGGTCTTCCCAGAGGTGGGGAGGGAGGCTTGCCCTGGGGTAGAGGCCGCTGGGTCCAGCCTACAACCTGGAAAAGTTACGTTTTTTTAAAACAACATTTACAAAGCTCTGGGGTCACTTAGGAGGGTCAACAAGAGAAGGTATCCTGGGATTCAATCCAGCCCTCCTGGGGCTCCCAGGGGGGGGGCTGTCCCTTTCTCTTCGTGGATAAATCTTTAGGATAAAATACACTCGCATTCGGGCCCCTTACCCTCTCCAAAAAACCTGGCCCGCTCACCGCCCCTTTCCTTGCGAAATTGGAAGAGGTGCTTTCCTTTCGCCTCCACAAAACTGGGACGTGCTTCTGTAGGATATCAGAGTATCAGGATGGGCGACTCCTGGGTGGGGGGAGCCCCCCATAGACCGCAGCCTCTGAGCTTTGCAGAGCCGACCCCCCCCAGGCCTCTCCAAACACTCCCCATTTGCATCTCCTAGACTTATCAACATTAAAACCTTGCACCGATTAGCAGCACGGGAAGGAATTCTGCCCTGTTCTCCCCCCCCATCCCCAAGTGGACCAAAGTCGATGGCAGCCTGGAAGGGGCCACCACTGGCCCGTGGATCAAGCTTTGTCTGTGATTCACCCAAAAAGAAAAAACAACTGGAATAAATGAGAGTAATCGTCCATCTTTCACGGAGGGTTGGGCCGCAGCCTCTCGGCCCCAGGGGAGGCCTTGGGAGAGCCCATTGGCCGCCTCTCACCTGGCGCATACTCCATGGCGATCATCAGGGCCTTGTCCTCCAGGAAGTTCTCGTAATATTCGATGACGTGAGGGTGGTGGAGGAGCTTGAGGACCTGGCATTCATTCTGGGCCGCCAGCCGCTCGTCCTTGGTCATCTGGTCCACCGGGATCTGCTTGAGGATGACCAGCTTCTGGTCCACCTTGCAGAGGCAGAGGTGGACGATCCTGCAGGGAGGGAGAGAGAGAGAGAGAGAGAGAGAGAGAGAAAAGAGGGCTGCTCGGTCAGAGTTTGGAAAATGAACCCCTTTCGGACCTCAGGGGGACCCCCCCTTTCCCCCCAATCTCTCCCTGGTCCAGAAGGTTCTGGAAACGGGCATCTCCAAAAACGGACGCCCCCCCCTCCGAGGGTTTCAAGACCCCGAAGGAACTTGGTCAGAGGGTCTTCAGAAGAGCCACTGGGGTACTGTATCTGTGTGTGTGTGTGTAAAATATACGGTATATCCCTAACGACCCTGTAAAGTAGGCTCTTTTCTGTCCCCCCCCGAGACCCTCCGCTTTCCCACACAACACCCCTGTAAGGTAGGCTAAGTGGCAAAGGAAGGGAACCCTAACCATGCTTCCCATTCTGTCAGCGCCCTGGACTACAACCCCCATGGTCCTCCCTCATGTCAATCATCCTAAGTGACAGAGCACCCCCGCCCCCCCCCAAAAATGTCACTTCCGAGCTAGCAATTCCCCCCTCCGGGTTCAAAGTCACTTCTCCAAGCTCTGCTGGGATAACTCAGATCGGGCTCCAATTTCCCGAAATGGTTTTGAAACTCGAGAGTCCGACTAAGGACAGGGACATAATTTGCATACGCTTTCGCTAATATATGCAAATTTATGCACGGGAGCACTGCTTTTGCGTTACCTCGCAAAGCCCCCAGTCTCGGCATAGGGAAAAATGGGAGGGGGGGTCAATTCGTGCCTAGGGCGCCCCTTCCCCTAAGGAGAGAGTCTAGGGACCCCCAAGATCCTGATTGGCTGGAGAGAGGGCCCGCCCCTCCCGTCCCCATGGCAACCAGGTAAGCAACAACCGGCCCGCCCGGAAGGAAGAAGCGACGGCGGGCCTTCGCCCTCTCTCCCTGCCTCCCTCTGCCCCGTCCGGTCTCTCGCCGGTTCTCACCCGAAGGCCCCCCTCCCGACCACCCGGATCCGCTCGTATTTTTCCATCAGGCTCCTCCGGACCCTACTAGGCCGCAGTCCCCGGCGGTCCCGTCGCCATGGAGATACTTCCGGGCGGGGCTACGGCGGCCGCCCAGGGCCAAGGGTCATCGCGCCGCGTAACGCGCTCAGTCCTTTCGAGCGGGCGAGGAACTCGCTCCGCCCACCGGCGGGGAAAGGGTTAAGGAAAGGTCGACGTGGCCCTTAAAGGAACAGTCGCCTTTTTTCCACGGAGATGGAGGAAAACATCCGCCCGCCAATGAGCATCGTTACGTAAAAGCAAAGGAAGCGGGGGGGGGGAAGGGGGAGGCTATTTTTTTTATTGCTTCCTCTTTCGAAGCAGGTCTTGCAAAAAAAAAAAAAAAACCCAATAAAAATAACAATGTGTGGGAATAAAGCTTGCACAAAGCAAACCCCAGCAAAGTTGTGACTGAAAGAAAAAAAGAGACGGAGATTCTAGAACAAAAGAAAGAAAGAAAGAAAAATGAAGCAATGAACATTTTATTGCAATGGCAATAGCCATTATATGTGATATATGAATATATATTATTGTTTTCATTGCTAAAGCCCTGCTTGTTTTTGCAATTTTCTTTTTGCTAAAATACTGGGGTTTTTTTTGCATCCCCCCCTTTTTTTTCCTCCTTGGGAAGATGTCCCGTGTGGGCTGGATCCTGGTGTCACAGCCTCCCTCCCCCCCCCCCAGCCTCTGAAAATGAGATCCGATGGCATTCCACAGGATTCTTAGATCCTCCACTTTGTCAGCATCAGTCAACTCTACACACAAACACCCACAACTCCACCTTAAAACACAGCACAGTTGGGGGTCTCTTCCACCCCACCGAATTGCCCCCATGTCCCACTGGGGCAATCCAGTTATGGGGGGAAAAAACAGCCGGGAAGGCAGGTTTTATTCCAGACAAAACGAACAGACAGGATGCTAAATCAGAGAGGTGCTGGTGTCGGTCTTGGCTGTCCAGAAACACACCTCGTACATCTGGAATTTCGACTGGAGTGTGCAGTCTTCGCAGCTTAACAGAGCTCCTCAGCGAGAAGAAATGGTTGTCAAACAAATGTGAAATCGACCAGATTAAGGATGGAATAATACTGGCTTTTTTTTAAAAAGCATCTCAGCATGAATATTAACACCCCCTTATTTTTAATCTGGTAAACTGAGATACATTCTGCGTAAGCACGGGTGTTCTATTAGCTATCTTCCTAGTTTAAACATGGATGAATGCACGGAATCTTTTTTTTTTAAGTTTATGAATCAAGTCATTGTAAGTGAACAGCTGCCTACAGTTACAAGCAGCTAAGAAGCATGCGTTTTATTGGATGTTAAACTGGAAAAACTAGCTCCGTTCAATGCTTTGTTGCTGAACACGCAAATAAACGACCAGGAGTATTTTATACACAAAGCATTCCACATTTGGGAGGTGGGAATAACCAAATGAAATTGAGTAATAATGTGATTTACGCATATGTGATCTGGATTCAGACCCGTTTCTCTCCATTCTCTGGGCCAAGGTGAATGTTGGGGGGGGGTTTTCCACTGTGTAGGTTTCACATCAGGTTTCCAGGGGATGATTTGGCCATACGATGCCCTGCCAGGCCCCGTCACGGATGGCTAGAAAAAGCAAACAATTACCCTTGGCTCACCTTGAGAGGAAAGGGTGACACCAGCAGAGGTACAAAAGCAGGCATGATCTCCCTCCAATATTCATTTATTTATCTATTGCATTGTGTTGTAATAGCGCTGCATTTCTGTGCCCCCTTCCTCCTGCCAGCGGGACGCAGTGGGCAGCGTCTCACCCATCATGACAAAATGACGCCTAAAAACAGCAATTGAAAAATTGTGAAATAAGGAATGAGTAACATATAAAAACAAGCTAAGGAATACAGTACTAAAACATTTTTAAAAGGCAGCAAATGTAGCGATGTTAAAACTGGATATCAAACACCAAACGCCTGTTAAACTAGCTCAGATACTAATAGGAGTTGACATATAAACAGTGAGTGAGGGAAGACAGAACACCATCGGCTAAAATGCAGTTATTTATTAATTGTGAAAGGCCTGTTGGAATTGAAACGTTTTGGCTTTCGGGAATTAGCGGTTTAGAAGCACCAAATTCTGTATACATTAATAAAGGCATATTCCCACGATCTTAAAGCTAGGGGACTGTAGTCCCCAAACCCCAAACATTCTGCACAAAATGCAGAAACTCTCCAAGACAAACAAGTTACGGGCCTCTCCAGATTCCTGTTGGGATTTAATGGCGCCCTTGGGGTCGGCTTTGTTATTGTTGCCTGCTGCACTCCCCCGAGGGTGCAATCCTGGCAAAGGGGATGCCTTGCCTGACTTCTCCACCCTAACCCCAGTCACCGTCTCCTCCTCCTCCTCGGTCATCACAGTTCGGACATTCTTGGGATAACTCCACACAAAAGGGAGTGACCGCTGTTGTGTGGAGCCTTCTTTTCCTCCACACTCTTGGGAGACTTAAACTTTAAAGATCGCTTTCAGATCGCAAGAGAAAGGAGCCATTTTCTCCCGTCTTTCTTGGTCTTTTGTGCTTTGTTGACAAGCGCTGGAGACAGAGTGCAAAATCTGATCAGCTCTGGTGCTTTTTTTCAGCCCCCACGGGGCCCGTCTCCCAGGGCGCTCAAATAGCAGCTGTTCCTGACAGGGCAAATCTCGTTAATTAGCCCGTCGTCTGCTCACCTCTGGGTAGCTTTTACCTCTGTGTTCCCAAGCAACACAAGAGCGGTTCAAATGACACATTTGGGTCCGGTGGCGGCAGCGTGCTGATGCCGCCACCAAGTGTCAACATGAAGGGAGAGACCTATCCTTTCCCACACGTCGGTCTCACCCAAAGCATGTGTTTCTGTGCAGATGAACCCTTGAGACGATGCCAAATATATATATATTTGTCTATGTTTATTATCAGGATTGTCTATACGCGTCCCACAGATGCAAGCTTTGGAGCTTTACAGAATTCTTCATCTGTCTACTTTAGCAGCTGTTAACTGTGGCGGTGCCGTGGCCCCCATTTCCTCCAGTAGCTGCACAGACTGCCGGAAATGTCCAACATGGAAAATAATAACCTGGAAGTGGCTAGAAATCCACTTCCATTTTTGTTTAAGGAGGAAAAATAGGGTTGTTTTAGGATTCAGCAATGTAGGGAAAGGCCTGCAACCTGTTTCAGGAGTTTTCAAAGACGGAGCCAGCATGGACGACTCAGGCAAAATAAAACCAGAGATATGGTGGGCCCAAACTAATTAAGATGATCACATTTTTAAGAATCGGAGTGCGTGCAGGAGTCCGATCATGCAGGAATTCTTCTGCAAAGAAAGGATCAAGGGTGGTGGAAAAAATAAAGAACATTTTTTTGGGGGAAGAAACCCTCCTGCAAAGCTCACTCTACCTATTATAATTTGCCAGGAAGGAGAACCCAAAACGGAGAAGAGCAGCCTGAACAGATGGTAGCAATTTATATAACTTTCCTTATTTTCTGTGATGAAAGCGTTCCGATTTTTCCATTCAGGGTCTTTAGAACGCACGCAATCAGACCACCCCTGCGCTGAAAAACACATGGTGGGATTAAATGCACATGTTTTCTCAAACAAACAAACAATTAATATTCTCCTCTTGCCTCCCAGGGTTATCTTGCTGACTGTAAGCTCTGTGCGGGCAGAGACCTGACTCGCCCTGTCCTGGGCCCGTTTTTAAAGCACTTGGGGGGAGGAAAAAACGCATCCTGTTTGAACCAAAATGGAACTTCAGTCGAAGATGACAAAGTTTAGTGGCAAAAGCTTGCTTTTCAGAGTTTAGGGTGTGTGTGTGTGTGTGTGTGTGTGTCTTCCTTTTTAACTACAAAGCCCAGCATTCCCCAGCTAGACTCCAAAGTTTTGTGCCCAAAGAGACTTGCTTTCAAGAATGCGGATGAACGCTTCTCTAATGTTACTTTATTATGCAGATGTATATTTTGGGCTACAAGTTTGGCTGCCTGCCTTTCTTTCTTTTTTTTTCTTTCTTTGGACTACAACGCCCAGAATTCCCCAGCTGCCTGGGGGATTCTGGGTGTTGTAATAATAATAATAATTTTTAAAAAATGCATGCGCCCCAAACTGTTTGGAAAAGATTGAGCATATCTTGGCTATATACAAGGGGAAAAAACGTCAAAAATTCTTAAAAGGGAAAATAACAACGCCCCCCCCTCCCAGTCGGTGACGTCCCCGTGGGGGGCGGGGCGTGTGTCCCGGCGTG